TGTGGGTGATCTACTGGGTTCATTACGGAACCACGAACTTCGGGTCTGCGACCTAACCAACGGTTTCTACCAGCTTTACCAATTACTAAGTTTTTAGCATCGATGTTACCAACTTGTCCAACAGTTCCCCAACATTTGTTAGGAATTAAACGGACTTCACCAGACGGTAAACGTAATGTAACAAAACGACCTTCTTTAGCAACTAATTGAATAACTGTACCAGCTGAACGTGCCAGTTGGCCACCTGAACCTGGTTGAAATTCAACATTATGAATTTCTGTCCCTAAAGGCATATTACGAAGTGGAAGACTATTACCAATGAAAATTGGTGCATCTTCAGATGAGATAACTGTTTGACCGATTTCTAAACCTTTAGGATGAAGAATATAACGTTTTTCACCATCTTGGTAATGTAATAATGCGATCTGTGCATTTCTATTCGGATCATATTCAATACTATATACTTTTGCAGGAATATTTACCTTTTTACGATGAAAATCAATTTGACGATAACAACGTTTATGTCCTCCACCACGGTGGCGACATGTAATAACACCTCTGTTATTTCGACCTTGTGCGCGTTTAACCCATCTTGTTAAAGACTTTTCGGGTTTAGAATTTGAAATCTCTTCAAAATTAAGTACTGATCTATTTCTTGTCCCTGGTGAGGAAACATGATAAAAGCGAATTCCCATAATATACAATTCCTTATAAAAATTAGTTTTGAGCTAAAACTGTAATTGAATCTTCTTTTCTTAATGTAACAATAGCTCGTTTATATTGTGTTTTATAACCTTGTGATGATCCTAAACGTCGTTTTTTACGAGGTGGACGATGTGTATTAACGGCAAGTACTTTCACATCAAAAACTTTCTCAATAAATTGACGAATTTGAGGTTTTGTTAACCTAGGATCTACATCAAAAGTGTATTGGTTATTATTTTCAAGAAACCTTACAGCTTTTTCAGTTAAAACAAAAGATTTGACATTGTCAATAATCATAGTCTATATAATAAAAAAAAATACCCAATGGTTTCATTCATAAAATGAAATGAAATTTGGTTGGGTTTTAATAAAAATCTGGTAAACATTAAATATGTTTTTTTTGAATATTTTTATTTTATTCTATTTAGCTAATAAAAATTATTTAAATAGAATTTACAAATTTATAAATATTTCTTTTTATAAATTTTGCATTGGATTAAACTTAGCTTAAAGCATACAGTGTAAAACTATATAGTTTAAGTTTTTAATTAAAAGTTTAATTAAAAACCGAACAGGTAAAGGAAATTATTGCCAATTTATTCAATCATACTATGATAAGTAGCAACAGTGGAAGGTGATAATTTGTTTAAATACCTAAAAATCCAATATTTTACAACTGTATCAATTAATACTGGAAATGTTGCAACAAATAAAAAAACAAAATCTTCATTTTCGGCAAAACCAAAATGATCCATAACCGCTTCTAAAAAAACTTCCCAACCATGAGGTGAGTGAAATCCAACAAATAAATCGGTTATAAATAATAAAAGAAAGGATTTTGTTGTATCGCCAAAACTATAAAGTAATTCAGTAATAAAAGATTTTAAAATGATTAATTGAGGACGCATCGAATTCGCCACGAATAGAAAACCAATAAAAGTAAATGAATCAGTAAAAATATTTGCTAAAGCGTCAATACTTTCTTCATTATATTCCGATGCAAGCTCTGAATATTTTTCATAAAGTTTTTCTTCAAAATAGGTTTTTGTTTCATTTTGATTTTTCGAGATCCCTGATACTTGAGGATTTTGGATCGGCGGCATAATTAATGATTCAAAATATAACTTTTCTTCAAAATTTTCAATTTGTTGAAAAGCTCGTTTTTCTTGTGAAATATTTAAAAAAATTGTTGATTGTTGAGTATTCCAAACGTACTCAACAGCTGGTTTAAATAAAAATTGTTTACTTAAAAATTGAAAAAATAGCGGAAAGAAAAATAAAAAAAATAAAGATTTAAAAGATACTAAAAATTGATATCGCGATATTTTAAATTCTTGAATAACTAGATTTTCAATACCAGGCCATAATTGTAAGCGAAATCTTCCTAATGTTCTTAGAATTGAACGAGGAACAAACCCCATTTTTTCGACTGATTTTGCTTGATAGGAATTTTTTTTCATAATCAAAATTATTAGTAGATTAAAAAAATCATAGATTTGCTATGATTTTTTATAATATATTTTATGTAAAAAATGAATATTTTTATTGTATTGAAATCAATTTATCTTGTAAAAATCGAATCATATTCATCTAAAGAAACTTTTAAAAACATCGCTAAATCTGAAGCTTCTCTTTCAAGATCTTCTAATGCAATAGGTTGACCAACTCGAGTTAATGGGATTTCGCGTTTTTCTTTTAAGCGAATATAAATAGTTCGTTTTGGATTTAACCCATCAACAATATCAATCCTAACAGCTTCAATATCATCTAATGCGTAAGAAAAATCAATTCGTCTATTTTTTCCAGGAAATCCCCATCTAAATACTCGAAAAGTTCCCTTTTTTTTATTAAATTCATTAAATCCACCACCAACTTGCCATAGGATGGTAAGCCATAGATATAAACTTAAAAAAATTCCTAATGAACCATAGAAACACATTACAATTCCTTGTGGAAAAAAGATAATATTTTCAAAATGTAAAAATGGCAGTAATGCCGATCCAAAATACGAAGATAAACCTGTTAATAAAAAATAGAATCCTCCAATTCCGAGCGTACTAGCCCAAAATAAATTACTTAAACGTCGTGATCCAACAACAGGATAACGACGAATCAAGTCTGAATTATTCTCTGAAAACTCAAATGTTTGATTCATAAAAAAAAAAGAAAAACAATATTAATAAGAATTATCTCTCATTTAATTCATATGACTCAAAAATGAGACCCAATAATGAATTAAATGAGAAAAAGCAATAATTGATGTTTAATTGCAAAATTAATCGCGTGTTTTTGCAAAACGTTGTACAAGACGAGCATTTTTACCAACACGGTTACGTAAATAAAAAAGTTTTGCACGACGAACCTTTGAATTTCGGATAATTTCAATATTTTGAACTACTGGTGAATGAAGTAAGAAAATTCGTTCAATTGAAATTCCTTGAAAAATACGACGAATTGTTACAGCAGTATTAATACCAGTATTCACTTTTGCAATAACAGTCCCTTCAAATGGTTGAACTCGTTGTTTATTTCCTTCCTGAATAATAATACCGATTTTGGCAATATCCCCTACTTCAATTTCAGGTAAATTTTGTTTTATTTGATAATTTTCAATTTGTTGGATAAGATGTTTGGTTTTCATAAATTTGTTTGTAAATACAATCAATTTCGTATTGTGGTCATTTTAATGATTAAAATGACCACAATACAATTTTTTTCGAATAATTTATTCAATAATAGCTGTTACAGATCCAGCACCTACAGTTCGGCCACCTTCACGAATAGCGAATCGCATTTGATTTTCAATTGCAATTGGTTGAATTAATTCAACCGACATTTTAATTCGGTCACCAGGCATAACCATTTGCGCTTCTTTACCATCATCAGATGTGAATGCTTCAATTTTCCCAGTAACATCTGTTGTACGCATATAGAATTGTGGACGGTAACCAGGGAAGAATGGAGTATGACGACCACCTTCTTCTTTAGTTAAAACATAGATTTCAGATTCAAATTTCGTATGTGGTGTAATATTTCCAGGTTGTGCTAGAACCATACCACGTTCAATTTCTGCTTTTTGAACACCACGAAGAAGAACACCTACATTTTCTCCAGCAAAACTTTCCGTTAATGTTTTTTGGAACATTTCTAATCCTGTAACTGTTGTTGTTTTTGTGTCTTTTAAACCTACAATTTCAATAGTATCACCGATTTTAATTGTTCCACGTTCTACTCGTCCAGTAGCTACTGTACCACGTCCTGTAATAGAAAAAACGTCTTCTACTGCCATTAAGAATGGTTTATCTACAGCACGTTCTGGTGTTGGAATGTATTCATCCACTTGTGACATTAAGTTATAAATTTTGTCAACCCACTCATTATCACCTGGTTTTAATGTAGGAGTTTGAACTAATGCTTCTAGTGCTAATAAAGCGGATCCAGCAACAACTGGAATTTCATCACCTGGGAATTCGTATTGATCTAATGTCTCACGAATTTCTAGTTCAACTAATTCTAATAATTCAGGATCATCAACTTGATCTTCTTTATTTAGAAAAACAACAATGTTTGGAACTCCTACTTGTTTTGCTAATAGAATATGTTCATTTGTCTGTGGCATAGGACCATCAGCTCCTGAAACAACTAAGATCGCACCATCCATTTGTGCCGCACCAGTAATCATATTTTTTACGTAATCTGCGTGACCTGGACAATCTACATGTGCATAATGACGTGTTTCTGTTTCATATTCTACGTGTGCTGTATTAATCGTAATACCACGTGCTTTTTCTTCAGGTGCAGAATCAATATCTTCATAGTTTTTACCACCTTCACCATTTAATGCAGCTAATGCCATTGTAATAGCTGCTGTTAACGTTGTTTTACCATGATCAACGTGACCAATTGTTCCAATATTTACATGTGGTTTTTTTCGCTCGAATTTTTGACGTGCCATAAATAGAAAGTTTCCTTTATTATTAATTACTAATGAATATTTCTTAAAAATCTCCATAAATAAAGAAGATTTTATTTATTAATAATATATCAAATAACTAAAAACGATATTTCGCAAAAGCTTTATTTGCTTCTGCCATTTTATGAACTTCATCACGTTTTTTAATGGCATTACCCATATTTTTCGACGCATCTAAAAATTCATTTGTTAAATTTGTTACCATATCTGGCCCTGATCTACCTCTACATGAGGCTAATAACCATCGAATAGCTAATGCAGTTCCACGTTCTAAATTTACTTCTAATGGAACTTGATATGTTGACCCACCAATACGTCGAGATTTTACTTCAACTAATGGTGTAGCGTTACGTACGGCTTGTTCAATTACTTTAATTGGATCTTGTTCAGTAACTTCACCGATTTGTTGTAATGCTTTATAGATTAAACGGAAAGCTAATGCTTTTTTCCCATTTTTCATTAATCGATTTGTAATCATATGAACAAGACGACTATTATATACTGGATCAGGTGAAATTGATCGTTTTTTTGCAACACGTCTTCGTGACATAAATTTTTCTCCTTATATTTTTTAAATTTCAATATTATTCTTTTGGTTTTTTACCACCATATTTTGAACGTGAATTTTTACGATCTTTTACGCCAGCTGTATCAAGTGTACCACGAACAATATGGTAACGAACACCAGGTAAGTCTTTTACTCGACCTCCACGAACTAATACTACTGAATGTTCTTGAAGATTATGTCCAACACCTGGGATATAAGCAGTTACTTCAAATCCTGATGTTAATCGAACACGAGCAACTTTTCGAAGTGCTGAATTTGGTTTTTTAGGTGTTGTTGTGTATACGCGAGTACATACGCCTCGACGTTGAGGACATGAGCGTAATGCTGGTGATTTAGTTTTTTTTAAAATTCTTTTTCTTGCTGAGTTTACAAGTTGTTGGATTGTAGGCATATAATTTAATTTTATTGTAATTAAACTAACTAATTTTAATTTATAGGATTTTGCTTAGTGTTTGGTATTTTTTTTTTGAATTTGGTGCTTCAAAATTTTATTGTAAATTTTGAAGCACCAAATTGGTAAATTTAAATTTTAGAATGAAAAAATTAATGGATCTGGGAAAAAGCGGTTAATTTCAATAATTAATCCTGCAGTAAAAATAAACCAAATTGTTCCAACAACTGGAGCTGTTGATAAATAAGTTGTAAAATTTTTCATATTACCTTTATTAGTTTTATTAATTGTTCATTTTAACCAATTACTTTCTTAAATGATTGGTTAAAAGTGGAGGCATTATTTAATATTCAAAAAAATATTAAATAGCTCTCCATAAATAATATACTACCATGAGAACTTATCTAACGATAAAAATGATTATAGTTGCAATTACATAGGTTTACCGTTATTCTTTTAATAGATATTTCGGGATGTAGCGCAGTTTGGTAGCGCTCCTGTTTTGGGAACAGGAGGTCGCAGGTTCGAATCCTGTCATCCCGATATCATAAGTAAACGCCCTTAGTTCAGTTGGTAGAACGTAGGTTTCCAAAACCTGATGTCGTGGGTTCAAGTCCTACAGGGCGTGTTTAATTAATACGGTTTTCTTATCAATTATTGACGAATAGAGTCTTATTATATATACTAGTACTTAAAATACTACCAAACAAATATTTATTTTATGCGTAAAAATTTATCAAACATTACCGTTATTCAATCAAATGGTAAAACGCCATCTGTTCATGGAACAATTGATTACAAAAACGTTCTTTTATTAAGAAAATTTATTACATCTGAAGGTAAAATTTTACCTAGACGAGTTAGTGGACTTTCAGCAAAGCAACAACGTTATATTACTAAAGCAATTAAGAATGCTCGTATGGTAGGTTTATTACCATTTATTCATAAAGAGCAATAATTATTATATTTTAACCTATCAGGCGAACCTTGATAGGTTAAAATATAGAAAAAGAATCTATTTGAAATTTGTTAGAGTATTAAAAGCATTACTATCTTTAATAGCTAATTGAGATAACATTTTTCGATTTAAAATAATATTATTATCTCGTAAAGATGCCATAAAAGTACTGTAAGTTAGACCACTTGTTCTTGTTTGCGCATTAATTCGAGTAATCCATAAACTACGAAATTGACGTTTACGTTGTTTTCGATCACGATACGAATAACGTAAAGCTTTCATAGTTTGCTGTTTAGCTGTACGGAATAGTACTGATGAAGCTCCACGAAATCCTTCAGCTAATTTTAATACTTTTTTACGTCTTTTTCTTGCAACAAAACCTCTTTTTACTCGAGTCATATTAAATTTTGTAAATAAATATAAAATAAATTCTACTAAGACTCTATTAATTTGTGTTAATACCCCCAAGGGAATTCGAATCCCTGTTTCCTCCGTGAAAGGGAGATGTCCTAGGCCTCTAGACGATGGGGGCTTTGTTTTTAAATATAATGTAATTATATATCTGAGAAATGTTACTGTCAAGTTTTTTTTAGCGGAGGAAGGATTTGAACCCTCGACCTTCGGATTATGAGCCCGACGAGCTACCAAACTGCTCTACTCCGCGTCTTTTTTTGTTACATATATTAAATATAATTTTACATTTTCTGGTTTAAAAAATCAACTATTTTTAACTTGAACAACATTTAAGTTCAAGTTAAAAATAGTTGATTTTTACCAACTTGCTTTTTGAACACCCGGAAGTAAACCTTGGTGTACCATTTCTCGTAAACAGTGACGCGATAATCCAAAATCTCTAAAAAAACCTTTTGGACGACCAGTAATAAAGCATCGATTATGTAAACGTGTTGGTGAACTATTACGAGGCAATTGCTGTAATTTACGTGATAATTGCACTTTTTGCTCTAAAAATTCACTTTCTTTGATTTGATTTTTTAAAATTTGTCTTTTTTCTGAATATTTTAAAACTAATTTTTGACGCTTTTTCTCGCGTTCAATCATTCCTTTTTTTGCCATAGCAGATATTAAATAACGATATTGTAAATTTTTTGAGTTAACTTTTTAAAATAAGTATACTCAATATTCAAAAAACCTCAATCAAATAAACTCGGTTTTATTATTACTAATGCAATTATTACCCCTGAAAAATCATTGAAATTAAAAATGTAAATGGAATAAAATTATAACACACTATAATAGTTACAGTCCGCCAAAATTTTTTTACTTCAAAAAAATCTATAAAAAAAGTGGTTAAATACAATTGAATTTCTAAAAAAATAAATGGTTTTTTTGTTCTTAATAAGCCAAAAAAAGTTGCTATTAACCCAATAAATAATAAATAATGGATTAAAAATTGATTCAAGGTAGTACTAAAACTAGCTAGTAAGAAACTACAAGTAAAAGGTAAACAAAAAAAAGGATTATTCGTTTTAGGGTTTTGAAGTAAAATTGGAATAGGTAAAAGAAAACAAATTAATGATAACGTATAAACTTGAGGATTTTGTAAAAATGCTTTCCAATATGATGGAGATAGCAGAAAATAACTAGGAAACAAAACTATAAAAAATGAAAAGATAATGCCTAAATTCGAGGAAACCATTTTTTTTTTACGCATAAAAACTAAAAACTTGACAAAAAGTTAAATCATATATAATATATTATATATATGTGCCGGGATAGCTCAGTTGGTAGAGCAGTGGACTGAAAATCCTCGTGTCACCAGTTCAAGTCTGGTTCCTGGCATTTTTCTACTATTATATAGTAATTGTTATTCGTATAATATATTTTGAACTTCATATTTATTTATTTTTCTAATCACTTTAGAACGGATTTTTTTATATCTCCCAATAAAACTTTACTATTAACAAATTCTGGAGGTCAAGATTCCACAGTTTTATTTCTAATGTTTTTCATTTTGCAAAAACAATATAATTATAATTTAATCAATATTTATTGTAACCATCTATGGCAGGTAGCTTCTCTTCAGTTAATACTTCAGTTAAGTAGAGTGAATTTTGCTCAGAAAATGAACTTCATTATTATTACACCGGTTTTGGAATTAAAAAATGAAAATATTTCCCGTAATTGGCGATATAGTGTTTTAACACGTTTATCGTGTTTTAGTTCTTTTGAATATACTATTGTTGGACATACAAATACAGACCAAATTGAAAGTTTTATCTTAAATATTTGTCGTGGAACTGGTTCATTAGGATTAACTACTTTAAAAAAGGAAAAAATCAACTTTTTCACTAAATTGCTTTGTTTTAGTGAAAAAAAAAGAAAAATCGGTTCTTTTTCAGATTTACTAACAAATGAATGGATCTCCAATTCGTTTTGGTCACTGATTTATCGACCTTTGTTTACTTTTAATAGATTTGAAATTTATCAAATTTATAGTGTATTAAATTTACCAGTTTGGACTGACCAAACAAATTTTAATTTAAATTATCGTCGAAATCGTATTCGACTTGAGTTATTACCTTATCTTAGATTTTATTTGAATCCTAACGTTGATATTGCTTTGTTACGTTGTATTCAAAATATTTCATATGAATCTAATTTTTTAAAGAAATTAACATTAAAAACATTCAATACGAGCTCTTATTGTACTGATAATTCAAAAAATCACCTAATTATCTATAATTATAGTCAGTTTCAAAAATATCCTTACACAGTCCAAAAGAGTGCAATTATTTCTACTTTAATGGAATTAAAATTCAAATGTATTAATTACAACTTCATCCATTTATTTCTTAAATTTCTTTTTTTAATAAAAAATCAGATAAAAGAACCTACCCCACAAGTATTTTATATTTCTAATAGTATTATCTTTGGTTTCTACGGTAACTATATTTATATTTGTAAGATGAAAAATGGGTCCGATGGGATTTGAACCCATGACCAGTCGATTAAAAGTCGAGTGCTCTACCACTGAGCTACGAACCCATTTATATTATAACCCTCCTTTTAAAAATGCTCAAATTTTTATAAAATGAAAATAAAACTATGGTAATATAATAAAAGATAAATAAAAAAAAATTTCGTTTTTTACTATGAATAATACTTATTCTTTCATTTATTCTTAACATCGGAGATTTTTGTTATGCTTTTAGTTTTTCAATTAAGCCTTTTTGCTTTAGTTGCAACATCATTCCTTTTAGTTATTGGCGTACCAGTAACATTTGCTTCACCAAATGGTTGGACAGAAAATAAAGGAACAATTTTTTCAGGTGTTGGTCTATGGTTCCTTTTAGTTTTTACTGTAGGAATTTTAAACTCATTTGTTATCTAGTTTACTAAAAATTATAATTCAATTTTTGGATATTTGATAGTTATTCTTCAGATTCGCAATTTCTATTATTGCGAATCTGATTTACTACAAAATCAAAGATAACGTAATAAAAATGTGTATGTTGATCAAATCCAGATTTCACAATTTCATTGTTTATAGAAAAATGCTTGATTTCAAAAAAAAATTACATTTAAAAAAAATCCAAATCTTTTTTCTTAAATTTCAAATAGTTTGTTCGATTATTGAAACCTCATTTCGACAATATATTCTGGAATTTACGAATAATAAATGGATTTTATTTTTAGCATTAGTAGTTCCAATTACATTTTCATGTCAGTTTTTAGAAAGTTCTAAATATAAGAAAGTTTTGTCATTATTGGAACAAAATTTACCGGGAACATTGCTACGATCAAATACTATTTCTTGGGAAACTTTTCAAAAAACTCATTATTTACCTAGTTCAGAGAAATCACTTCAATTTGAAGATCATCGAACAACACAACAATTTGAAAAAATTGCATTATATGATCAAGAATTTTATCGTCAAGCTATTAAACAAATTGATTATTGGGGTGATTTTATTACATTTGAATTTTTTAAAAATTGGATTTCATATAAAAAAAATTATTTAGCTGGATCTATTTATGAAAAAACACAAAACAAACAACCATTATTATTTGTTGCCCGTGATAATATAACTTCACCTTTCTATTTTTGTTACTTACAAGATTTACCAAAATCTTTTGCTCGCCAAATACTAAATATTAAGAAATCTCAAAAAAATGATTATCAATTAGATGAATTTCCACAAAAATTATCTAATATTCAGTATTCTTCACAACAAAACACTTTATTTAAATTAACAAATAATCCCATATTAATTAATAAAGTTCAACCCAAAAACCATTTATCATCCTTTTTTCGATTAGAATCATCTCCATTAAATGTAACTTCTCAGTTTATTGGTATAAAAACGATTACAAAATTAAAAGAAAATAATAGTGAAAATACACAGAAACTTCAAAATTCAGAATTATTTCAAGCACAAATTCATTTTCAAAATAAATTCGCATTATTAAATACCCAACTTCAAAATTTATTTTATAGTAAGGGATATATTTTACCCAAAAATTTATTTGTAAGTAATTCAAACGGATTCAGCTTCAATAATTCCATTTTATATGACAAATATACTGGAATTTCCGCACATCAAATTTTAAGTTTGATCGAGAATCAAATAGTTCCAAAACCTTTTGACTCAAATATTGAAAAACCCTTAAATCCATCTATTTGGATTAATCGTTTAATGTCTGGATTCAATTATCCAGATTTACAAATGAAAGATTTAATTTCAATCACTCGTCAAAATAACTATTCACTATATTTTCCATTTTTACAATTTTTTCATGATTTTAATGTTTCCGATAAACTGAAAATATATTTAGGTTCACATTTTGCCTATCCAATTGAATATTCCAATTTTAAACCTGATCCTATTCGATTAAACTTAAAATATTATGTTGGGAAATTTGAAGGAAATGATTCCACTATTCAGTATTCTGGTCCAGTAGTTACATTAACGGATCAGATTCAAGCGTCCATATTTAAATCAACTAATTGGTTCAAGGTTCGTAATAATTTGCAATCAATTTTGCATGAACTAGATCCACGACAAAGTACACAATATAAGTTTTTTGGGAATACTTTATTGGAAATAACTGATAAACCTTCAAAAATGAAATTAAACAATTTCAATTTGGAGGATATTCAACTCAATAAATTTAATAAACAATTATTGAAACGACAAGAATTAACTGCTGAAAAAGAGTCAGTAGAGTCGTCAGGTTCATATTCTTATGAATTTGTCGTACCCTATTTGGATTCACAAGAATGGCATGTTTGGTTATTAAATCAGACAACTAATTCAAACCAATTACCGTATATTCAATCATTTCCAATTCGCCAATTATCATTTTTAAAAGACTTTCAATTTAATATATTGTTTGATTTACTTGATTATCAGAATCCTACTAAATTTTTAAATTGGTTAAATGGAAATGATATTTTTAACTCTAAATTAATAAATCATGAATATCCATTAACTCAAGCAGCAATGTCATCTTCAATAGTTCGACAAAACTATACAACAGTTACATATTTAAAACGAACTAATCAATACAAATTTGTTAATCCAGAAAAAAATGTAATTCAAGCTAATCTTTCAAATTTATCAAATTCAACTCAACTAAATTTTTTTATAAAGAGAGAAAATTGGGA